AGTTGATGCCTGGCTGAGGACGGGTCAAAACTGTGGCGCAGCCGCGTGAGTCCGGGGTTATCCTGCGTACAGGGTCGGGGGGGCTGGAGCCAATCCCAGCTGACATCGGGCGAAAGGCGGGGTACACCCTGGACAGGTTGCCAATCCATCGCAGGGCCACACATAGACAAACAACCAGTCACACCTAAGGACAATTTTAGGGTCACCAATTAACCTAGTCTGCATGTCTTTAGACAGAGCACCCGGAGAGAACCCACGCAGACGGGGGGAGAATAAGCAAACTCCACAACTGGGATATGAACCCACGACATTCTTGCTGTGAGGAGACAGCACTAACCACTGCATTACTGTGCCGCCCCCAACAGGCGTTGGCCCAAAGTAATTCTACCTGTACTGGTCTTAATGGGAAAACACAGAAATTCACTCTAATGATTCAAACATGAAATAAATTGAATAATAATTTGATGATGTTTATGAGGTTATTAGCTCAGCCGGCAAATATTTGCAAGACAGTTATCACATTATGATTGTTTCTGCGGTGCTCAGTGTTTTAGTAAGCTTTTAACCAGGCAAAAACATGTCTTATAGCTGAGCTGACTACAGTACTTTCAGTCACCAGCTGCTCTGCTAAAAGCTACTGATTCAGTCATTGACAATGGTGATTCACTGTAGTCAGTTCACTTTGAAAATTTTGTGTAAAACCTAAGTTTGTACAAGTAGTTATTAGCAGTAGCTAGCGAGCAACATGCTGTGTGTGATATTTTTCCTCCAGTCAGCTCTCATTTTCTTCTTGTCTGTGTATCTTTATGAAGTGGAATCACATAACTTAAGGATAAGTGCGAATTTTCCACTGCAACATTTTCATACTCACACGAATATGCGCCTTTATAAGCAACGTGCGGACTGAACACATTTTTAGAGGCTACGTTCAATTTGAATAGGGAACTGATATTGTTCCACAGTTGATACAAAAACATGAATGAGATGCAGAGCAGACATTATCTGTGTCCACATGTGGCTTGAACAACAACCCAAAACTGCCTCTTTCCCCTCCACTAATCTCCCTTTTCTTCTTGCCTTTATTGCTTGCTAATCTTTAACTACATCTCAGCGCCATCTATTTTTTTCAAGATGTTTGATAGATGTTTGAGATGTGTATCTTTGTAGCGGCTTGAAGGCTAACATTTATTTTGATAGTAGATGCAATCTTAAAGCAAGGCGGAGTGTGAAGATGTGATGGACAAGGCTATTTTAAGGACGACATTACTTTTTTTATTTGTCAGATTGTGTGATTAAGCTAGGGAATGGCTTCAGATCCATCTTGTGCTAATTGAATGATACTGATCACTCATTGTGGAAATTAACTATTTGTTTTATCCTTGCAATTATTTCTGAATGTTCTTTTTCATTCTTTCTTTCCCTTGTGCCTTTACTCCTCATGTTCTTTTTCTCTCGTGCAGTCTCTGACACTTTTTGCCTCTTCTCTCTTTTATATGGTTGACCTTTATCTCTCTTTCTCTATGTCTTTCTTATTGTTGTCTGTTTTTTATTTTTTCCTCAATTAGCAATCCTACAGCAGAGCATCTTATAATGTGTCAAGTAGGATAATGTCTACATGTACAGTATCTTAGCAGCACTAATATCCTGGTCAGATGCTTAATAATAATAATAATAATAATAATCTTTTCACCTCAGAGAAGAACTTGGGTTTATTTGTTCTTGTAGGAGAAAATACTTCATTTAGTTCCTACTGACACACATATCACATATAACTGTAAGTGAGGTTCTCTCTTCTTTGTTCTGTTGGTGATAATGCTGCGTTCAATCCAGGCTGCTTATAAAACTGAATATCGATAAGGAATTATGTAACTTTAACCTGTTTATCACTTACAGAGCACAACCATGTAATGCGCAATGCAATTAATGACAACTACTGTAAGTCAACACACCCCACAGACTCTCAAACCACTGTCAAATTAATTAAATCAACACTTTTCAGAGCAGAAACAACCTTTTAGTCAATAGGTAGAGGATGGAGTCACTTTCTGGCAAGTAAAATACTGCATGTAACCATTTAAAGGTATTTTAACAGGTAAAAAGGACTGAATTGGTTGGTACACATCAGAGTCAGAGTTTGGTCAGAGTCTGAAGTCTTTTGAGGTCGAGTCTCAAGTCGAGTCTCAAGTCACTGTGTGTGAGACAAAGTGCGTCTCGAGTCTGAGTCTCAAACTTGAGTCCCCATCTCTGCTTCATTTGTCATTGATCCACTCTGAATTTGTGTAGATGAATCATGTTGGAATAAGGAATCATTATAAGAAAACAATGTTGGCCTTAGTTGTGATGAATTCACAACAATAGTTATCTCATTGTGCTTTTCATATAGAGCAGGCCTAGACCATACTCTTTTAGATATTATTTACAGAGACACAACAATTCCCACCATAAGCAAGCACTTGGCGACAGAGGCAAGGAAAAACTTCCTTAAGAGGCTGAAACCTCAAGCAGAATCACGGCTCAAGGTGGGCGGTCCTCTACCTCGAGCGATTGGAGTTGAGGGAGAGAGAGAGAGAGAGGAGCTCAGTGCATCATGGCAGTCTTTGCCTATAACAGCATAAATAAGGGATGGTTCTAGACTCACCTGAGCCAGCCCTAACATTATATTGAAGTTTGTTTAATATGAGAGTTAAAAGACATGTCCTGATCAAAGATAACTCAGAGATTCCTCACAATGGTGCTGGAGGCAAGTGCGATGCCATTCAGAGTAACTACATCTTTAGATAATGTGTCTCAAAGTGATGTGCCCCAGCAAATTAATTTCAGTTTTATCTGAGTTTAACATTAGAAAATTACAGGTCATCCGGATTTTTACATCCCGAAGGCACACTTGAAGTTTAGCTAACTGATTAGTTTCATCTGATTTGATTGATAGATATAATTGAGTATCATCTGCATAACATTGAGTGTTTCCTGATAATATTGCCCAGGCAGACAGGATTGGTCCGAGCAAAGATCCTTGTGGAACTCTGTGTCTAACATTGCCGTGCATGGAGGATTCATCGTTGTACAGCATGTACATGCTGAGATTGATCTGAATAATAGGACTTAAACCAGCTTAGAGTTGCTTTACTGCCAATTGAGTGTTCCAGTCTAATAATCTAGTAATAAGATATGATGGTCAAGTACTGAGGCAAGTCTTTGTCTGATGCAATTTGAAGGTCATTAGTAATGTTCACCAGTGCTATTTGGCAACTGCTTTCGCAAGAATCTTACAGAGAACAGAAGGTTAGAAAGCGGGCTATAATTGGCTAAAACCCCTGGATCAAGAGTGGGCTTTATAAAGAGAGCTTTAATTACAGCTACTTTAAAAGACTGTGGCATCTAGCCTGTTAATACAGATAGATTGATCATATCTAGTAAAGAAGTACTGACTAACATAAAACTAAAAGCAGCCTAGTTGGGATGGGGTCTGAGAGACAGGTTGATAGTTTAGATGAAGAAATTACTGCAGTTAGTTGGTAAAGCTTGAGGGAAACAAAGCAGTCTACTACTTTTAACCATAAAATAACTGTATAATTCTATGGTTGCCATGTCACTAATATGCATATTACAGCATATTTAATGATATATTGCCTAATGACAAAAAATAAAATTTTATAATAATAAAAAATATTAAAGTCTTTGTTTGTGCGGGGTGAGACAAGTTTATATGAACATACATGTTGACCTTTTATTATGAAAAAGAAAAAAATCCTTCAAATGTATTATTACAAAGAGTTTGTTTTAACAAACAGTTAAACAGTTTTAACATGTTGTGGCACTGTCTCCCAAATACTGTACATAAATATTTAAATATATACTAGGACATTCTGCCCAATATTCACCTCTTATGGATGATCACAAAATAGTTCCAATGTAAATATCACCTACATTATATCAAATATAATATTAAGTGCCTAATAACACACAGTATCGATTAAAAAAATAATGGATATGAAGGAGACAGAATCTACGCATTTATGTTCAAGTGACAAAGCCTTCTGGTGGATGTAGTAACTATGACGAGAGCAAAGGAAGAAGTCAGGTGACGTTAGAGTGACAAAACCTGTAAATCACCTCGTTACTGTATGCTCTCTGAGGCTGTATTCGGTCTGATTCAATGGGAAGCTGCTGAGCCCGTCTCTGTTGCCTGGATGCTTGGCTCTAGTTCTGGTGCCCATTGCAAACTTAGTCGGCTAAAACCTAGTTCACACTACACGATTTTAAGCCCGGTTTGGGGGCAGCGATCGATCGGTGCTCACCAGTCGTTATGTGTGAACTACTCAACAATGCATCAAAACAGCTCACTGATGCATTGCCAACGTCAGCCAGATATCTGCCATGCTACAGATCTGGAGGAGTCGGCCAACTCGACATACACATCAAGCCAGTGTGAGAAGGCAGCTGGCAGAGCAGGCCTTACAAGATAGCAAGTTGTGTAGTGTGAACAGCACAGCGATCTGCCCATGTTAAAAGTTGCCAGCATGGCTAAATGAGCTCACTAGCTAACGGCAGTTTGCAACAGTTGAACTGAAATGTGATATGCTGCCCCCTGTTTTTTTTGTAGTATGAAACCGACAGGGGAAGAGGTAGTAGGTAACATGTCTGACTTAATGAGACCGTCCCTTTGCATCTTTGATTTTGTTACCACAAAGTTAAAATCATCTTCCACACCTGCGCTCTCCCTCCCTTCCACTGTTCTTCACAACGCAGCCGGCACATTGCAGGCAGCTGTGGCTGCAGGTGTGGGAGTGAAGCAAAATATGGCGATAGTTTTCTATGCTGTCAGAGGGCTCTGCAATATCCAGTCCTCTGCCTACCTTTTCGTACTTCACCTGCCACAAGCTGTACTTGACTGCCAGAAATGGAACAAACATCTGCCTCATTTACTGCTAATGTGGCATTATAAAAAAGCAAAGACAAACATGTATTGTAAATAGATCTGTCCTTCTTGTGTTTCCTAGGTAACTGAAACAAGGACAGGCCCTCTCGGCTGCAGTAACTACGACAGCTTGGATTCAGTTAGCTCGGTGTTGGTGCACAGCCCGGAAAATAAGATTCACCTAAAGGGTAAGGCTGGAGAACACACGCACACATACACACATATATATATATGTGTGTATATATATATATGTAAATACACATATATATATATATATATATATATATATATATATATACACACACACACAGGTGCTGGTCATATGATTAGAATATTATCAAAAAGTTGATTTATTTCAGTAATTCCATTAAAAAAATTAAACTTGGATATTATATTCATTCATTACACACAGACTGATATATTTCAAATGTTTATTTCATTTAATTGTGATGATTAAAAGTGAAAACTAATGAAAATCCCAAATTCAGAATCTCCGAAAATTAGAATATTACTGAAGACCAATACAAAAAAAGGATTTTTAGAAATGTTGGCCAACTGAAAAGTATGAACATGAAAAGTATGAGCATGTACAGCACTCAATATTAAGTTGGGGCTCCTTTTGCCTGAATTACTGCAGCAATGCGGCGTGGCATGGAGTCGATCAGTCTGTGGCACTGCTCAGGTGTTATGAGAGCCCAGGTTGCTCTGATAGTGGCCTTCAGCTCTTATGAATTGTTGGGTCTGGCGTATCGCATCTTCCTCTTCACAATACCTCATAGATTTTCTATAGGGTGAAGGTCAGGTGAGTTTGCTGGCCAATTAAGAACAGGGATACCACGGTCCTTAAACCAGGTACTGGTAGCTTTGGCACTGTGTGCAGGTGCCAAGTCCTGTTGGAAAATGAAATCTGCATCTCCATAAAGTTGATCAGCAGCAGGAAGCATGAAGTGCTCTAAAACTTCCTGGTAGACGGTTGCGTTGACCTTTGACCTCAGAAAAGACAGTGGACCAACACCAGTAGACATGGCACCCAAAACAATCACTGACTGTGGAAACTTTACACTGGACTTCAAGCAACGTGGATTCTGTGCCTCTCCTCTCTTCCTCAGACTCTGGGACCTTGATTACCAAAGGAAATGCAAAATTTACTTTCATCAGAGAACATAACTTTAGACCACTCAGCAGCAGTCCAGTCCTTTTTGTCTTTAGCCCAGGCGAGACGCTTCTGACGCTGTGTCTTGTTCAAGAGTGGCTTGACACAAGGAATGCGACAGCTGAAACCCATGTCTTGCATACATCTGTGCGTGATGGTTCTTGAAGCACTGACTCCAGCTGCAGTCCACTCTTTGTGAATCTCCCCCACATTTTTGAATGGGTTTTGTTTTACAATCCTCTCCAGGGTGCGGTTATCCCTATTGCTTGTACACTTTTTCTACCACATCTTTTCCTTCCCTTCGCCTCTCTATTAATGTGCTTGGACACAGAGCTCTGTGAACAGCCAGCCTCTTTAGCAATGAGCTTTTGTGTCTCGCCCTCCTCGTGCAAGGTGTCAATGGTCGTCTTTTGGACAGCTGTCAAGTCAGCAGTCTTCCCCATGATTGTGTAGCCTACAGAACTAGACTGAGAGACCATTTAAAGGCCTTTGCAGGTGTTTTGAGTTAATTAGCTGATTAGAGTGTGGCACCAGGTGTCTTCAATATTGAACCTTTTCACAATATTCTAATTTTCTGAGATACTGATTTTGGGGTTTTCATTAGTTGTCAGTTATAATCATCAAAATTAAAAGGAATGAACACTTGAATGAAATTACTGAAATAAATCAACTTTTTGATGATATTCTAATTATATGACCAGCACCTGTATATATCAACTTAAACTCCCAGGCCTCTTGTAGAGGACCCGAGATTGAGGATGACACATATCACCTGGCAATAGGTGAGAGGGGGAATTTATTTATTTATTTTTATATTCTTTCACATATATTTATCCTAAATGCATACACAGACAGCCCTGAAGAAAAGGTCCACTGAAGGGATAGGATTTTTCACACACACACACACACACATGCTGTCGCTACCTCCATCCACCAGCCTGCCAAGCCTCTCACCTCCTGTGTGTAGTAGTTGGCTGGGATGACCCTTTACTTTGCGCTGCAGTAGTTTATATGTCTGTTCTGCCTGACTGGCTCACAGTCTCATGGGGAATCTGTTTTCTTACCAGGCTGTAAGTGGACCGTCTCTGGACACACTGACCCCACCCTAACCCTTCCAACTACACCTGGAACACTCAGTACACAAGTAGAGCTTTAGTGATAGTCCAAGGTCTAACCTTCTTGTTTGCTAAAACATATTACCAAATTATCAACAAATGACTTTGGTGGCGGTTGGCAGGGGAATAAGAAACCTCTCTTTCACATTCAGTCACACTGCAAAAAGAAGTCCTGATAATGTTCTTTACCTTAACTTAACCTTATTTACTTTGCAACACATTGGGCAATTTATTAATTTTTACTATAGATTAGTGTATTTAACAAGACAAACAAGCCACTGTCACAGTGTCAGTCTATAGTAAAACTGATTAATGATAACATTAACTGTTAACATTCAGCAGCACCCATCAATCAACTAATTTCTGCATTTCACAAGTGAAGATCTGTTGATTTCTTGGAAGAGTGATATTTTTCTATGTATTACATACCTATATAAAGGGGGTGGGCAGATAGGTAGGAATGATGTGGGTAGGAAGCTAAGTGTATAAATATGAATAAGGGTATAAACTATTAAGGTTACAGTAAGGAGCAGCCTTTAGCATGGAAAAAAAACCATGTGCCTGTACTCATAGCATCTAAGGTTTTCTTCCACACATGCATCAGCAGGTTTGCTTTGCTGCTTATGAAACAGCCATTTGGCATTTGGAAGGAACCAGTCACCTAACTAGGCAGTCAGGCTTCTATGTGCATCCAAGTGTGCTGTCAAACTATAATATTTCAAACTAATCTGCTGTCAAAGAATGCTGTAAAGGACTGTCTTGTTTTGTTGACACATTTTGGATTAACTATAGGGGTAATTGCTAAACTCACTGATAAACACATTGCATTTTCTGTGACTACTTCATAATAAAAGGCAATGTATGTTTTACCAGTTAAATGCTTTTAAGGTGAAGCTTCAGCAGTAAGAAAATGTTTACATTAGCAGTAACTTAATACACTATTTTTTTCCAGGAATGTCACCACCGACACCTGGTTTTTAATACAGCAAATATATAAATATTGCAATACTTTATCTATTTATATGTATGTCCAGTATTAACTCCAGTTCAGCTTCGCAGAGGTTAGCCAGTGTGTACTTTTTGAATGTAAAGTAAAACTATTGACACATGAGGGTCACAGAGCAGCATGGGCCATGTGCCTGATAAACAATGCATGTACTAATGTGTACATAAGTAGCAGGTTGCACTTTTGACAACACCATGAATGCATCTGCTCAATATATATATATATATATATATATATATATATATAGATAGATAGATAGATAGATAGATAGATATATGTGGGTGTGTTGGGCCTGATATGGTTGTGTTATGTGTATATATGTCAAAAATAAATGTAGACAAAGGTATAAGTATAATACCGATGTCACAGATATATATATATATATGATTTATTTATTTATTTTTACTGATATTACAAATCACATGCACATATGTTAAGCTCACTGTAAAGTCACTTCACCCTAACAGATATGTTCTAAGACCGAAATGTCAGTGAATCTTAACAACCAGGCAGTGACCCGGTACCAATCTACACAGTGTAGGCTACAAAGATGTTTTCTGACAAGAAGCGATCATCCATCCACCGCTGCTGTCGGTGTTTCTGACACATTCATCATGACAGGTGTCGCAAAATCACTGCACTAACAAAGGAATAGGCTTACTCTTGAAGTAGAATTTACACTGATCTGCTGCAGGGGGGAAGCTTCTCTGTGCTTAGCTTAAATCTCTGCAGTGTACACAAATGTTATGTGCAAACTTGAAGCCTGCAGTACACATCCACTGAGAATGGACTTAAGTAGGATACATCTTATGTCAAATCCATTTGCATATTAATAGATTCAGGATTTTGGAATGAGAGAGAACATTGTGGAAAACTCATATCAGACAGAAAATGTTATGCAAAGTGGATTATTTTTTATATGTTTCAAAACATACCTGAGGATATTTTACAGTAGATTCTGGTTGCACCCTAACAATCTTCAGGATCAGATCACTCTTTACCAGCTTGCCGGTACCCACAGAAAAGATGGTTAAGAACCCCTGTTCTAAGTCACTATACGGATATTATATAAGTGACCCAATGCTTGTATTGATTCAGTATGACAGTGTAGGGGACACATTTCCTTATTTTCAAGATGACAGAACAAGTGTTTTTCTCCTTAGATGACCTCAGCTAAATGTGATTTGTTGGCGTACAGGCTGATGGATCTCAGTGAAGTTCTGTGATGAGTTTAAGATAATAGCTGGCATGCTGATGTTGGGACAACCCACATGGGTTATCATTTTCACCCCTTTTTAATCTTCCACATACCAACATAAAAAATAGTCGATTTTTAATGCAGTCTGCATTGTTAATATTCATGGTGGCTATCACTGCTAATGCTAACTGCCTTGTTCCAATTTTTCCTTTAATTAAACCAATTTTTTTTAAACTTCACCTCTTCACCTATGCTTACTGCAGTGTTCTGTGGATTGTATCACTTAGTATTAATACTTCAGTAGCAGATACTACTTCAGATACTTCTATTAATAGGCTACTACAGAAAAGGTGATCACAACTTTCTTTAAGATTTGATTGGTACATAAGCACATACTGTAACAGAACAGGCTTGTGTAGAGACTGTCTAAAGGACAAAAAGAAGAAAAGAAGATAATATCAAAATACCATTATCCTCTCTGGCCACCCAGCCTTGTCCTTTCCTTTAAGAGCTATCACATAAGGAATAATCACTTGCACTGATCTGTAACCTCGTTCAAAAAGGAGACAAACCGGGACAAAACTTTCTAGTCATTTAAGTTTGTCCTTGAGACTGTACCTACACCAAGTGTAACGTATCACACATTTCATTGAGTCACTGCTTCACATTGGGTACTTCAGATGTCTCCAAAGCTGAAGTATAATTTGCTATTGTAA